AATACCCAATTATGACCTCCTGTGATAAACGCTTTCATATATTTGTTTTATAGGTATTTTAGAACAGCTATTTTGTGAAATGCTCTTAAATTGTTATTTAGCCTAATTTTTCATCTCCCTATCACCATTTCAGCAGGCTTACACTATTACTGAAATGAATGTTTCCAGGCCTTTGAAATTGGAGCAAAAACCTTCCCCAACACACATATGACCTCTATTCAATATTGAGAAAGTTGCAGAATCTCATGAAACATATGTTTATTGGTTAACCAGTTATTTAACTAGTCTCATGTATACATTAGTACTTCTTTTCTACAGAACTTAATTATCTTTAAATTTTGCCTAATGGAGAAAGCAGCCAATATCCCAGAAGCCAAAAAGGACTAAAATAAATATACAAAGAACAATCAAAATATGTGAAAATACTCTGAAACAAAAATGCAAATTTATTTTTCATAGAGGGATTCCATTTAACCTGTCAAAACCTAAATTCTCATATTTTACACACAGTAGTTTTGACTGTGGCTTTTTAATACTTTAACCTACCAAAGAGTAGAGGTTACAAATTATAATATAATAATAGGATTGAAATAAACACATATACTAAAGGCAAGAAGAAAGAATTGCCTGAGAGTCTGGTAGAAGAGGAGAAGGTAGGAAAATTTAAACAGAAAGGGTTTTTTAGATTTAATTTTCAGAGGTTTATGAATAGTCAAGTTTTCATTTGAAATTTTTATTAGAATCATCTCTAAATGAAACCAATAATAATTTGAGCTCTGGTTGATCAACTTGTATTGACACAGATCCCTGAGGATACTGTTGATTCAAAATCAAAATCACCTTTTTTTTTTTGAGATGGAGTCTCACTCTGTAGCCCAGGTTGGAGTCTAGTGGCACAACCTCAGCTCACTGCAACTTCTACCTCCCAGGTTCAAGCAATTCGCCTGCCTCAGCCTCTGGAGTAGCTGGGACTACAGGCACATCCCACCACACACACTAATTTTTGTGTTTTTTAGCAGAGACAGGGTTTTACCATGTTGGCCAGGCTGGTCTTGAATTCCTGGCCTCAAGTGATCTCCCTGCCTTGGCCTCCCAAAGTGCTGGGATTACAGGTGTGAGCCACCGCACCTAGCCTAAATCATCTTTATTAACTCACCTCCATTTCTTCAGCATGGGCTCAAAATGTAGTTTATCCATTTACAAGACTAAAATCCTTCGATTTCCTGTTTAAGAGTGATCTGCCCAGTGTAGTTAATTCAGCACATATTTACTGAGTAACTGCTGTTTGCCAGGCTGTGGCTATTCCTTTATGAGGAATAAGAAAGCACCTGGTAGAACTGGTTTACAGTTGGATCACTGCTATATTCTCTTTCATATAAATGATAAAAAATGATATTAGAAACAAGTTCTGAATTTTTTTCATCATTTCTGATCTATTGTCATCTATTGATTTAATAAGGATGCATGGGCCAAGCTTTATGATTTCAATATAAATAGCAGACTTTCAATGTGGATTCAGACTATCACAAAGCTACCTGCAAACATAGAGTGGCTAGGAGCTGATAGATTAATTTCCACTCCTAATTGGAATTTGTAAATTGTCACAATGATTGTTTTGATTAAATGCATGTTTTCTTGCCATAGCAAACGGTAAAGGACACATTCTTATTGGAATGACAGGTGGTTAATAGCTTAATCTACTAACTAGTAACAGTAAAATAATAATATATAATACTATTTAATCATTATTATAATTATTACTTAATAATATTATATAATGAAATATAATGACTATCATGCATAATAATAATATTTCCTGATGTTTATCAATGATACCCAAGCCCAAACTGTCATTTTGGTGTCCAGTCGATGTTTATAACCCTACTGTGATGATAAATTATTTAACATTAGCAACAGGGTAAGTGCTCTGGGATAATTCTTTCATGGCTACCTTATCCAGGCAGGTCTATATGGATACAGGCTGCTCAAAAAAGAACTATTCTACAGGAATGATAGATTTCTCATAAGTACTTTTATAGGCATGCACTGCTGTTCTCATGTGTTTTATAGGGCCCTTATTATGTTGAAACAGACATTCAGATATGTCACCTTGTAATTTTTCTTAATCAATTAAAATCACTGCCAAATTATCTGGAACATAAATTCGGGACATTTGACAATTTATTATTTTCTAAGGATGATCTCAGTTCTGCCTATTGAAATTTGCTCACCTCCAAGAGAAGAGAGATGGCTTCAGGAAAATGTCTTGAGGTGTTTTTATTTTTCACAAGTTACTTATTGCAACACTAGCCCTTCCCTGCAGGAAGCTATATAATTGTTTGCTTAACTGGCAACATAGAAGAATTGCCAGCTACTTCCTCAAGAATATACTCTTGAATTCCTTGTCACTCAAGTTTGTCTATTAAAAACTCAATGAGAGGAAATAATGTCCATAGATTCCTTTGGGAAAAAACATGTAATCTCCTTTCGTCTTTTTTTCTCATTGTGTCAAGTAGTAGGTACCCCACAAAAATTGCTAATTGAATACATGAATAAAAACTTTCATTGAATTAAATCTTAAACGCTGAGACATGTAACTCCAGAATATATTTTTTGATCCCATACTGAATTATTATTCCTGAATTCTATTTGGTATGATGCTCTGGACTTGCACTGATAATTTCTCTGTGCAGCCTCCTGTGGAACTCATGTTATATATCTCACTCTCTACTTTATAAAGTGCCTCAACATTTCTTTTCTGGTGATAATGTGAGGGAGGTAAGTCAGGCTTATCTAGATAAATTTATTTGTTTTCATTTTATGGGTATCATGAATTGGATCACCAATCAGATTTCCCTTTTCCCATTCACTGTCATAGAACAAAATTTGTAGCTCAAAATGACAGTGTGATTGCATCTTTCGTTTAACTCATTTCTACATCTAGTTTTTGCCCCTATGTTTGTTTTTTCTTTCTCATTCTCTTATAATTTATAGTTTATTATATATTGGCATATTTTATTTGTAGCTTATTGCTGTATTTTATGTTGCCCTTTAAAGATCTTAAATCTCTTTTCAAGTAAGATAAGGTATTGATAAATAAAAAGTTTAATCCATCAATTAAGCAAAATATTTTCTATTGTATAGAAGAAACTGACAGTTGTTCGTCTGTATTTTTAAAAGCCACTGAGACTAGACAATCTTGGGAAGAATATTTATTATTTGTCTACTAACCACCTCATACCTCCTTCTGAAAAAAAAGCAACTCATTTTTCTGGACTACTCCTCCTTCCACTGTAACTCTGCCTCCTAGAAAGGGTTGAGGGCTCTAAGGATGGGTAACCAAACCAAGCCATTCTAATTAGAGGCATTCCTTGAGTTGTTTACTGGGGAATTGATGTGGTGTGTGTTAGGCAATCTTGTCCTGTAATGGAATTGAGATGTAAAACTTAGGAACTGTCAGTGATCATATTTCCTGCCATAAAGAGAAAGACTGACTCAGTGTATGATAAAGTTGGCAGAGAGGAGAGGCAGGGAAGAGAGAGAGGAAGAGAGAGAGAGAGAGAGAGAGAGAGAATATTAAGTGTGAGAGAGAAAGTAAATGAAGGAGACCTGGCATCGTACAAGTTCCTGAGACAGTCAGTTCCTGAAACTCAACTCAGTGTCTTTCACATGGTTTAGATATTCACTACTTCTTTAGATTTTGTGAGATAACAAATTCATCTTTCTCAAGATGGATTCAAATTGGGCTTCTATCACTTTCAAGCATGAGTCCTTCATGATATATGCTGCTTTTAAGCTTTATTGTGAAAAATTTTGGCCTTAATCCTCACCAGCCCCACCGTCTACTTTTGTGCAAGAATATAATTTACTCTTTGACTTGGAAAGTCTATATCTGGCTCTAATTTTCATGTAAAAGAAAATCAGTTTTGTCTCTTAATGATATGGTATAGAAAACATTTGAATTTTTTTTTTTGGAAAATATTACTATTGCAAGTATTTTTCAGTTACCTCAAACTCAAATTGTTTGCTCTCTTGATTGTATCAAAAGTTGGACCTGGACAGTGATTTCTGGAGAGATAGGAACATAATAATTAGCATTTCCACATTGTTTTGCCTCTATCTCCATACCAAATCAATAGAAATCTACATGCCTGGATGAGTAGAGTGGAAAAAATGTGACTTTAGACCAGGAAGGCCCAGATTCATGTCTTAGCTTTACATGACCAAGATCTTCAATCTCTCACAGTTCCCCTAGGAAACTCCTAGAAGAACAGTAGTATGTACCTCCCAACATTATTAAGGAAAATATCTGTAAAGCCCTAATACAGTGTCAACATATAATAGTGGGAGTTATTGTCACTTTGCTGGCTCACCATAGAAAGACATTTCAAAAACTTTAACAATTTGCCTTCAGCTTTTATTCGAAATTCATACCCTCCCCAACACCCACAAGCTGTATTTATGTATCTTCATCCTTTGTACTATTATTAGTTACCTAATCCTCTTTATAGAAATATCCTTACATGATATCCTTCTTTGAATTTTCTCCTAGAGGAAGAAAAAAGACATTTCTAAATTGCTCATTTTCTTTTTATGTTGATGAAAGCATGTGAACTCATCCTGTTCCCCCATCTTCTTTTTTTCTTTTTCTCTTTGACTATCAGTAAAAACAGAGCTAAATTTTATGCTCAGTTGCATTAAACTAGATTAAACTACTGACTTATTACCTCCTTAATTATTTTAAAACATTATGTATTCTTTCAGTGGTAATATTGTATGTGTGACTTCAAGTAAGCTTACATTATTCTTGGGAGTAGGCATCAGTATATAAATAACAAATGCAATAAAGGCCTACACTATTTTAGCAACCCTCAGATGAAGAGTGACTGAGCTAGGAGTGTGAGGGTGGTAGCTCTTGTGTTAGATAGTTGTAGGACAAAGTGCTCCAGCTCCCTAAAGATCACACTTCGGGCACCGGTTCTAGGTTGGCTGCCTCCTATTTTCCCTTCTGGTCAGGCTTTGTGAGAGGTGCCCTGTCTTTCAGACTCCATAGTCCATGTAGCCCATTGCCTGCCAGCTATGAATGAAAACCTCAAAAAACTTACTTCATTTTGAGTCAATTTGTTCACAGCTAAGGGAAATACCACACTCAGGGAAGGCTAACTCTATTGCTGACCATGCAGTAGACATAGGGAGAATTTATATCTTTCTTACTGACTTGGACTGTCAATAACCTCCACTCTCTGAAGAAGACTTGACCCCCACCTTTGTGTCTTGGCTGTTATGACACCTACATTTGTTCACCCACCATTTTTCTCTGTTTGTGTTCTTGTAGCAAAATACCACAGACTGAGTATTTAGAATGAACAGATACTTATTTTCTTAGTTATGGAGGCTAAGAAGTCCAAGATCATGGCTCTGGCAGGATTGCTGTCTAGTGAGGGCTGCTTTTTGCCTCTAGGATGGTACTTTGCTGTCATGTCCTCCAAAGGGAAGGAGTGCTGTGCTCTCATGTGATGGAAGGGACTAAAGCGGGGAAAAGGGCAAATTTCCTCTGTCAAGCCCTTTTAAAATGGAAACGGATTCCATGCAGGAGGGCAGAGCCCTCATGACTCAGTGACCTAAAAGTCTCATCTCTTAATACTGTTGCATCAGGGATCAAGTTACAACATGAATTTTGGATGGGGAAAGCATTTAACCCATAGCACCACCTGCATCTCCAACTAGAACAAGAACTTCTTGAAGTTAGAAGCTGTGTCTTACTCTTCTCAGAATCTCCAGCGTACTCCACAAAGCTAGTACATGGTTTGCAAAATATGTTGAAGGAATAAACATATCTTCAGCATAGCAAGTTAAAATGATTATTAAATGACTACTTTACACATTTCATTGATCTAAGATATAAGAACTAAAAAATATGGAAATAATCATTTGCCACCAATAACAAAGTATGAATAGAAATTATTCATTACAATTGTATTTTGTTCTCACTTCCAGAAATCAGATTCACGTCTTTTGTAAAGAATGTGTAGTCTCAGGATAGTGAAGTCCTGCACTTAAAGGGAGATAAGGCTTAGAAGAATCAAGTTACTTTTGTAGTTGTTTTGATATATCTGGAAACATCTCTGACAAGAAAATGAAAGCCAGGAAGCTTTTCTGGAACGGTAGGTTTTATGCAGCTACTTCATATATTTTGTGCCATTCTTCAACTATATCCAGCCCAGGAGTCTTTGAGTTTTAAATATTTGGCCCCTAGAGAACCACTTGGGACAGTTGCTGTCTGGTTACCACCCTATTCTAAGACTGCCTTTTGGGTTGCATACACTAATACTACCAAGCATTGACAAATTATCTTCATAGAAAAATAGAAAGCAAATTCTAGAGGTGAAATATATATATATATGTATCTTTTTAAAGTAAGGCTTAAGAAAAATATTTTATATTTCCAAATCCCAGAAGCTGTTTCTGGACAATTTCTGAGATTAAAAAAAACACACATTCTTTATCTAAGTCAGAAGCAGCAAGTTTGAATTAGTCAATGGAATCTTCACCTATATTATTTATCTACATCATTTATCACCTATATAATTTATCTACATCTTATTAAATATGTCAGTTACAAGGAAGGAATTGGTATGAATATTTTCCTAGAACGGTAGTATATTCCAAAAGAGATGAGAAACCCGAGTTAAAGCTCAAGGGAAATAATTTCTTTATTTGTTTTTTCCTGTTTTAGGAATGGCTCTTAGCGTGTTACTAATTTCAAATAACTCTCCATAGGTATTTCATTTTTTTTTTTAATTACAAAATACATTCTCTCAGCTCCAAATACTTTCTAGCCTCTGACTATTGCTAACTGGCCTTTGAAGGTTCAAACAAGATCAGAATAGCTTACATTGGAGAAAGTGACTGTCACAGTTAATTTTATCTGTCAGCTTAGCTAGGCCACACTATGTAGATATTTGGTCAAACATTATTTTAGATGTTTCTGTGAATTTTTTTTTTTTTTTTTTTTTTTTTTTTTAGATGAGATCAACATTTAAATCAGTAAGATTTTGAGTAAAGCAGATTACTTTCCATAATGTGGGTAGGCCTCATCCAATCAGTGGAAGGCCTGAAGAGAAAAAGATGAACATCCTGCAAGAGCGATTTCTGCCAGCAGAATGTCTTCAAACTTGAGCTGCAATACCAACTCTTCCTTGGCTCTTTAGCCCACCAGCCCACCCTGCAGACTTGACCTTGTCAAGACTCCACAATCATGTAAGCCAATTTATTGCAATAAATCTCTCTCTGTTTCTCTGTCTGTGTCTCTCCCTCTCATTTTATATATATTGTATTTAATGAATATATATAATTATCTAATACATAATGTCATATATTATACATAAAGCAGAATTAATATATAATTATATATAATTTATGCATTTATATGGTATATGTAAATATACAATCCGAATAATTTTATATATATTATTAAATATATAAAAATAATATTATACCAAATCTCTTTATCTCTCATTATATATAATATACACATTAATTATATAAGTATATAATCATATTTTTATATGTAATATACAAATTTATATGTCATATACAATTTATGTAAATTGTATATTATTTTTATATAATAATATTTAAATCACATATATAAATATTTATGGATTTACAGTAAATATATTAATATAATTATAATTATTTAAAATGTAATTAAATATATAAGTATATACTTTTATATACTAATTATATACAAAATTATATATAAAATGAGAGAAAGAGATTCATTGTATTAATTTATATATATTATTTATTTATATAAAAATATTTTCTACATATTTATTTGTATTTATTTCTATAGTAATATGTATATGTATTTAGAAATATACGTTATATATTATACATTTTATATATGAGACATTTTCTGTTTATATATTTTTTATATGGCATGTATCATAATATATAATATATATAAATATGTAATGTACATAAACGTATATATACACCTATACTATATATAATATGGTATATGGGAAGCTTACCCGATTTCCAATAGCAAAAGTGTTATATATTTGAACTATGCCATGTAGTACAGATTACTGTAAGAAATCTCAGCAAAACTGAGACAAATGTTTTTTAACTCATCATTTTCAATACTGTTTATGCTTTCCAACTCAAGAGTGCCTGGGAAGAACTGAGAAGACATGAAAACATGGATTTTACTTGATCAAAAATTAGGAATCCTGCTATCAACTCATATTGACTCTCAATGTCTTGAGCATTGTTTCATCTGGCTGAAAAAATGAATTTTGGACAAATGAGAAATAAATGCTAAATTAGAGTCCAAGTATCAACACGATATTACATAAAAGCCCTTTTTATCTAGATTTAGCTTAGTATATGTCACAGCCAGTGACAAGTCACTCATATGGAGAGGACAGCCAAGTCAGCACATTACTCAACTGTTGTACAAATTTTTCTCTTAACCTTGCCAAGAATATATATGTGTGTATGTGCACATGTACATTACATAAGTACATTATGTACATTACGTAAGGATATACACGTGTGTGTGTGCATGTACATTACACACACACACACACACACACACACACATACACACACGTATATATTCTATTGTTTGTTTCTTTGGAGAACCTTGACTAATACAATGACCTTTTATTCTATTTGGTCAGTAGAATCTGAACGGCCTCAAAAAGTGATGTCAGGTAGACTCTTCATTTTGTTGGTCTGCCTTAGTAATCTGTTACAATCTGTTACACTCTTTCAATTATAATTAATTACATAATCACAATATATTAAACATTAAGAGAAGAAGCTTATTAAAGTTAGTGTTGGGTTTGTTGCTACAACAAAATACCACAGACTTCGAAATTGTAAACCACAGGCATTTATTTCCCATAGTCTGGAGGCTGAGAAGTCCAAGATGACATGCTGACAGATTTGGTGTCTAGTGATAGCTGCTTCCTGCTTTAAGTAGGCACTACTTGCTGCATCCTCACACAAGGAAAGAGTAAAAAGGGAACAAAGAATGCTGTCTTCCCATGACAGAAGAGATGGAAAGGCAAAAAGGTGCTAGAGCAATCCCAACTTCTTCTATAAGAGCACTAATTGGCTGGGCGCGGTGGCTCACACCTGTAATCCCAGCATTTTGGGAGGCTGAGGCGGGTGGACCACAGGGTTAAGAGATTGAGACCATCCTGGCCAACATAGTGAAACTCCGTCTCTACTTAAAAAAAATACAAAAATTAGCTGGGCATGGTGGCATGTGCCTGTAGTCCCAGCTACTCGGGAGGCAGAGGCAGGAGAATTGCTTGAACTCGGGAGGCAGAGGTTGCAGTGAGCCGAGATCACGCCACCGCACTCCAGCCTGGCGCCTGGCGACCCCGAGACTCTGTCTCAAAAAAAAAAAAAAAAAAAAAAAAAAAAAAAAAAAAAGCACTAATTAGCTTAAGAAGGCAGAGCCAGTGTGACCTAATCAACACCCAAATGCTCCTTTCCTTAATACCATCACTTTGGGCTTTACGTTCCTTTTGGGCTTTAAGTTCCAACATATGAATTTTGGAGGAACACCTACTTTGAACCAAAGCAGCTAGGAATAATTTTTAATTTATATATTCAAACATTTGGCATGTCTGTTATGGATCAGGCAATTGCATGTGTACTGGCAATGTACTTTTTTAAAGTTTAACAAGTGTGTATTAACGGAATGCTTTTCTGCTCACTGCAGTTCAAGCTATGATTTTGGTTTGAAAAGCTCCTGTGGTTTGGGTTGTGACATTTAGCACCTCACTGTAATATGGACACAGAAGTGATCCTCTTATCTAGCCATTGTTCTACCAGGAACTTGTTTCCCAGGATTTTTGCTGACCAACTTGTATTTCAGTTGCCTGTTTACTCCTGGAAGTGCAGCTATGGACAACTGGAAGTGCTGGAAATGATGCTGGTCCTGGACAATTGGGCGGGTTTGATGTTGGGCGGCTTCAGTTCTAGGCTTGACTAAGACAACACAAGAGCTTTTAACTTCCACACCCCTCTCTGCAGGATGTAGCAAAACCAGCAGGAGCAGAGCCAGGCAAAGACAACTTTTATTTTCTCTCCCCTCTTTCTTACCTGCCCACATCATGTTTTAAATGAACTGTTCCAAAGCACATGATTTCCTTCCCAGGGGCCAATATTCTTCCAGTTCCTCTGGTTGGTGCCGGCCTTTCCTGTGGGTCCCAGCAGGTGTGTCTTCCTCATGCACCATGTGCCCATTTTCCACTGAAATGGGTTTAGGGGAATGGACAGGCAGGGTAAGTGGAAAGCCTAAACAATGAAACAAACCGATGTCAGCATTTGCAGTTCTGTGAATAGGAGATTATTATGGGTTATTTTTATATGTAAGCAGCTGACTGCCTTTTATCAGAATTTAAAAAATGTAATTATCAAAACCCATATATATGCAAAACACTCTCCATAGCAAGCAGTGGTATGCACCGACCATATTTCTGATCCAGAAACCAGCCTTTGATTAGAGAAGCTCAGGTAGAGGGAAACAACACTTCAACATGATCAGGTCTATCCGGAGAAGAAGGGGTGGGTGAGAAAGCCCACCTCGAAGGAATCAAATCGTCTCTGGGCAGTTCTCCAACCTCTAGCTTTATGGGCCTCACTTTCTGAGTGGGAAAAAATCCATAGTTTGGCCCAATTAAGTCAAAAGATGACATCAAATTGTGTTAAAAAAAAAAAACCTCTTTTTAATTTCATAAGGAAGAGATTACAAATCACACTTCTAGAATGAATAGGAATTAGAGAGAATGTTATGGAGTCAACTCATATGAGAAAGATTTAGCCTCAAAGATTCTGAGAATATCTGCCTTCACCAGTTGAGAGAGAAGGTAGACTGTTTCCTTTTTTAGTCTTTGCTCTTTCACAACCACGGCAGTAGGGGAATTGTTTAACTTGTGAAATGCCTTTTATACAATCTGCTTGGGAAGGCGTTTTGTTTATAATGTGATACTGTGCCAGCTTTCAGAATTCCTTTCTTTTGTTTTTAAGGTCTAACATGAAACACTAACTGGTCCCTATCTTCACAGCCTCTTCTCCATCCTCCCGCTGCCCCTGCCTGCTTTTTCCCTGCCTCAAATCCCAAAGTCAGCTATCAGAACAACAGATTACAAGTAAACATCTGTTTATTGAGCAGTCATGGAATAGAGGTTTTTTTTTTTCCCTAAGTTGTGTACAGAGATGAATTTGTCAACATTTTATTAAAAGTATCTGAGGTAAAGAAAGTTTTGAATGATACTAGGGATTTTTAGCAATAAGTGTGAGAGTTTGGGGACATATAGCACAATGACAGTTTCCAGAAACAGAGACCTGCTTTTTAATTTAGTTAGTTGCCTAAATATCATTCTGTTTATTATTTGTTTTCTTTGCCGGCTGTGTCAGCTAATTAACTTCCATTAAGATATATTATGAGCAAAGTTTTTTGTTTTTGTTTTCACTGCAGAGAATATGTTCACTCATAGTTACTTGAATTTAAAGTAACTAAGTCCATTAAAAAATGTATTTTAATAGTTTGGTTACTGGGAAAAAAATTGTGATTTTAAGCAATTTTTGTTGGTAGAAGGGTAAGACAATCTTTTTCCTTCTAACAGCATAATAATATATTCTTCAAATATGTAGAGAGTGTTGCAAAAATGTGTTTTCTAAAGATGCTTATCTGTTTTGGCTACCAAAAGAGAAAGGTTTTCTGTATTTGATTTGCCTGTGGAAAGATTTTCTGTATTTGATTTGCCTGTGTGGAAGACGTCTGTAAGCTATTTATTTATTTATTTTTACTTGCTCTGCACTTTTTCCTTCTGGAGAAACAACTCATTTCCTACTTCAAGGTCAACTAAATTCAGGGTCAATCAAAGGTCAGTCAAGTGCTCATTATTCCCTCTGCAAACTGTGATCAAGGATGATCAAGTAGCTCAAATCAGGTTGTATTTCTAAGTGCCAGGGTGAGCGGTGTTTACTTTCACTAGAGTCTGCAGCTGTTAGAATAACGGAGCTCAGAGGCACTGTTTTGCCAAGACTTGGAAAATCTATGTATTAGTCAGTTTTCACACTGCTGTAACAAACTGCCCGATACTGGGTAATTTGTAAAGGAAAGAGGCTTAATTGACTACAGTACAGCATGGCTGGGGAGACCTCAGGAACCTTATAATAATGGTGGAGGCCAAACGGGAAGGAAGACACCTTCTCCCAAAGGCAGCAGGAAGAAGTGCTAAGCAAAGGGAGAAGAGCACCTTATAAAACCATCAGATATACTGAGAACTCACTCACTATCACAAGAACAGCATGGGGAAAACCACATCCATGATTCAGCTACCTCCACCTGGTCTCTCTCTTGACACATGGGGATTACAATTCAAGATGAAATTTGGATGGGGACCCAAAATTTAACCATATCAACCTATGAATGAAGAGCACATCAAGGCAAGCAGATCCAGAGGTGAAGAAGAAAGCCTGATGACATTGCATGGTCTTCTCAATCTATTCGTACCTGACTCACTTACTTAAGATGAGGTTTCCTCCTTTCTGTCTGCTTAAGGTAATTTGAGATATATTTCTAGCCTAACTTTGAGAAAGTTCTAATATGCCCATTAATCTTTAATTAAAATGTAGTTCATATGATCACATTTTGCCTAGTACATAATATGATTTCCAAAACCTTGTCTAGATGGGAAGCTTACCAGATTTCCAATAACAAAAGTGTTATATATTTGAACTATGCCCTATAGCACAGATTAGTGTAAGAAATCTCTACAAAACTGAGTATCTGAATAAATCTTTTTTAACTCATCATTTTCAATACTGTTTATGCTTCCCAACTCAAGAGTGCCTGGGAAGAATTGAGAAGACCTGAAAACATGGATTTTATTTGATCCAAAATTAGGAATCCTGCTATAAACACATATTGACTTTCAATGTCTTGAGCATTGTTTCATCTGGCTGAAAAAATGAATTTTAGACAAATGAGAAATAAATGCTAAGATCCAGTCAGAGTCCAAGTATCAACTTACTATTACTTAAAAACCCCTTTTATCTAGATTTAGCTTAGTAGATCTCATAGCCAGTGACAAGTCACTCATACAGAGAGGACGGCCAAGTCACCACATTACTCAACTGTTGTACAAATTTTGCTCCTAATCTTGCCAAGTTGTTGGTGACTGTGCAGTTTATACTCCAGGGAAAATTGTATTTGTCATTCTTACTTGGTTAACTTACCCGTGAAGTTTGTCATTAATAACTTGAATTCTCTGGATCTAATACCTTTAAAAATAGAAGCAAGAATCCCAGGATACTAATTCTGTCTAATGAGTCACTTTTTATTTCTGCCAACGACCCTCTAGGGAATCAGTCTAAGGCTTAAATCCTATAAAAGCCATGGATGAATTTTCTAATGGGTGATGCAGATGGGTGTGGAAGTCTGTGGCTTAGGAGTAACTTGTGAATTACAGAATGAATGGCAAGAGAACACCTGCTACCAACATTCCTCCTCCAGCCACCTTTTAACACTTTAGGATACAGGAGACAGTCTTATGAGTAGAATATAGAGCACATTTGTTAAAGAAATGTTAGCAAATCACTTTACTCTGAGCCTTTATTCCCTTTTATAAAAATGCCAATACAAACTAATCAACATAGCAAGACCCCATCTCTACAAAAAATTTATAAAAAGAGTAGCTGGGTGTGATGGCACATGCCAGTAGTCCTAGCTACTCAGGAGGCTGAGGTGAGAGGAAGTTCTATCACTTGAACCAAGGAGTCTGAGATTACAGTGAGCTATGGTCATGTTACCGCACTTCAGTTTGGGTGGCAGAATGAGGTCCTGTCTTAAAAAAAAATGAAAAAAAGAAAATGACAGTATGCTTTCTAAGCATGTTTATTGTGGAGATAAAAAGAAGATTCAGAATGTAGGTGAAAAGTGTTTGGAAATGGAGGTTCAACATGTCCTTCCATCATGATGTGGTCCCACCTACCTCTCCAGTCTTTCCATTCGCCATTATCTGCTCCCATTCTCCCAAACTGTATCCTTAGTCTTAAATAGTATCTGGTCTCTCATGCTTCTGGAATCTTTACAAATACTGTTCTGACCTGTGTTCTCTCTTTCCCCCGAATCCCACCAAAATCTATCTTCTCCCCTCATTGTTCAGTTTCCCATTCATATCCTGCTTTCTTCATCTCCTCAAACTGGATTTTGGGATTTCTTCTATTATGGCGCTTGGTTTATTATGTTTTGATTGCCAGTCTTCTTATTTGTTCCCTTCACTAGTGTGGCTTTGTGCATGTCATCAGACCTAGATTAATGAGGACACTCCCAACTGTGTTCAAATTGGATTATTAAAGACTTAGAAATTGACTACAATGAAGATGACATAAAAAGTTTAATCTTGGCTTCTTCAGAGATAATATTCGACATCTTTAGTATTCCCTATCCTCAATTCCTTTCTTGTGTAATGATTGCAACATGGGTTTGACTTTTGAAAATCAGGAGTGTAACTGAGTAGATGCTATATCAACAATGACAGTGATAACGTCTTCTAGATTAAAAGAGAACACTATTTGGTGTTCTTAGAACTATTTGGTGGTCATAGAAATGGAAAAGTTCTATCCTATGTATTTAAAATAGTAGCTCAAAAGCTAAACATTCTGGACCAGGCACAGTGACTCAAGCCTGTAATCCCAGCACTTTGGGAGGCAGAGGTAGTGGATCACCTGAGGTCAGGAGTTTGAGACCAGCCTGACCAATATGGTGAAACCCTGTCTCTACTAAAAACAAAACAAAAAAAATTAGTAGGGCATGGTGTTGTGCACCTGTAGTCCCAGCTACTCGGGAGACAGAGACAGGAGAATTGCTTGAACCCAGGAGGTGGAGGTTGCAGTGAGCCAAGATTGTACCACTGCACCCAAGCCTGGACAACAAAGCAAGAATCTGTCTTAAAAAAAAAAAGAAGAAAAAGAAGAAGAGAAACATTCTGTTTAGTCAAATGGGCTAGATTTATTTGGCCAGCATGTGCATGCTAAGCGTGTTGTAGGGGAAAACTGAGAGCCTTCTTACTAAAAACCTGTTATAATCCCTAAGTCTTTAATGACCCCTCTCATGGAGGCCCTGAACCTGATGTGTAAGGGCAGATTAAAGATTGAGAAGGGTACAAAGCATCCCAATTTTTGTTCAACTACTTGCTTTCATTTATCACACTTGCAGGTTTTATGACTAGTTAAACATCTTTTCATTTGTACTTGATAGTTAATTTTTTTCTAAATCAATCTTCCTTGAGAAGATGGAGGGAAAGACTGGTTAGGTTTTTCTTTATGCTCCAACTTTACACCTTGGAAATATTTATGGTTCACTCCTGGTTCTGCTTATCCAAGGTAAGTAGCCTTGCTAATTGAATGAAGCTTAGACATCCTCACTACCTGTTCTCTCACAGTCTGAGTGAGGAAATAGGCCTGGAAATGTCAAGATCTCCTCCAACACGGCAGAGGGAGGTTTAGCACCCAGGTGTCCTGGGATCTTTCCCTAGCCCCTCACTTTGACTTTTGCTCTTTCACCACTTGATATGGTCATGCTGCAGAGCTTTTAGGTCTGTCTTGGAGTTATTGGTCTCTAAATTGTCATCAACAAGTCTTTATAATCTGCCAGTATTTATTTACATCCTCTCAGGGGTGATAAAGATATATGTGATGGGTATTGGTTATTTGAGCAGGGATTTCACCTTTAAAAATAAACAAGATAATTTAGAGGTAATTTGTGAGCAATACAGGTAACTCTGTTTTTCATTTTTTCTATTAAATGCTGAGAAATAGCTTTAAAACAATAAAGTCAGTGCTGGTGGTGGCTTAAAAACAACCTCTAAAGTTCCTTTTGGAAAAGGAGTTCCAGTAAGTTTAAACTGATTTCTTATTTATATTAATATGTGAAAAAGTCGGCTGGGCGCGGTGGCTCAAGCCTGTAATCCCAGCACTTTGGGAGGCCGAGGTGGGTGGATCACGAGGTCAAGAGATCGAGACCATCCTGGTCAACATGGTGAAACCCCGTCTCTACTAAAATACAAAAATTAGCTGGGCATGGTGGCGCGTGCCTGTAATCCCAGCTACTCAGGAGGCTGATGCAGGAGAATTGCCTGAACCCAGGAGCCGGAAGTTGCGGTGAGCAGAGATCGTGCCATTGCACTCCAGCCTGGGTAACAAGAGCGAAACGCCGTCTCAAAAAAAAAAAAAAAAAAGAAAAAAGAAAAAGTCATATGGCTTTATAGATTTTATAACGTCTTCACAGCATTATGATTTGCTACCAAGTATAATCTACATTTCCACAGGATGGTTAGACTTAATTGAGGTATTATCATTCTACAAAGCCAAGCTTCTGAATATCAGAATTTTTCTCTTGCTAATTCAACCTAGAAGCAGATGGAGAGGCCATGGAGTTAAGTCCTGTGCTTCTATAGGCCTGATTCCTGTTTCTAAAATTTGATCTAATTGTATCAGTTTATGTCTCCTGGGAAACAGACACCAAAATATAATTAGAAGAGCAAGAAATTTATCAAGAGTAATTTCAGTGAAAGATAAAGAGGAAAAGGAAGTAGGAATAGACAAAGAAAGACTCAGACTACTGTGATATAAGTCTGACCCCTGTAGAAAGGGAGAATAAGACAGAAGGATTGGGCAGGTCTAGCCTCAAAGGGCATTAAGTATACTAGTGACAAAACCTCAGCCAACCAAAAGAGAGGTCTGGTGCAAACCGTCACAGAGGAGGAACTCTGCATAAGGGACAGATGGCCCGGCCCTGGTACACCATACCCAGGCATATCTAGTCTCCTGAGGGCACTCGAGCAGGAGGCTCTCAACGGACTGCACTCCTCCAGGTGAATAGCAAGTCCTTTTTACATGAGGACTGCATCTTGACTGCCCCATTAGTAGCGAGAGATAATACATTTTTCTTGGAAGGTGCCCTTAAAGATTTCTTTTGCAGACTACAAAAGAAATCTTTAAGGGCACCTGCCAAGAAACTGTGGGGATAATTGCAAACTGTGGGGATACCTTGGGCATATTGAATAGTACCATGGTAAAGTTGGGCTCCTGAAGTCAACTCATTCACAGGAGGCATATCAATATCCTGCATGCCATTGTTTTCTACTAAAAAGTCCCAAACCGGCAGTTCTATGTTTTATGCAAGATGATGAGGTGCATTTCTAACACAAATTCTTATTGCTAAACTGAGGGAAATAAGGCCACACTGTCAAAAGTCATATGTACTCATTATCTTTTGAATAATTGGAGCAAAGCTGAGATTGTTACAATACATAATTGGTTGACATGCTACCAGGGACACTTCATGCCCTGTGCAGTTCTGTGAAATCAGTTTGGATTGTGGTCTTCTAGTCCCCGGTCTCTCTCTCTCTCTTTCTTTACTCCAGCAATCCATCCTCAGTTGATAAACAGTTAATTTTAAATCACAGAGGTCATTTATAGCTAGTGTATTAGATTGTCAGGAATTGGCTTTTGCAATTATGGAGGTTGAAAAGTCCTATAATCTGCAAGCTGGAGACCCAGTAAAGCCAGTGGTATAATTATAGTCCAATTCTGAATGCCTGACAACCAGGGGAGTGGAAGACGTAAATCTCAGTTCAAGCACAGAAGACTGATGTCTCAGCTCAGGCAAGCAGGCAAGAAGCAAAAGGGAAAAATTCCTCCTTCCTCCACTTTTTTCCTTCTGTTTAGGCCTTCAACAGGTTAGATGATGCCAGCCTATACAGGTGAGAATCATCTATTTTATGGAGTCCACTGATTGAAATGCTAACCTCATGTGGAAATACCCCCATGGATGCAGCCAGAATTAATGTTTACTCTGAGGGCACCATGGCACAGTGGAGTTGACACATGCAATTAACCATCACACTTAGGAACACAGGAACAATAAATTTTGTTAAGGGGATTCAGGGGAGCAAGAAAGGAAAGATGACGTTTTGAGAAGGAAGGAGACATTTGCAAGGCTAGAGGGGAGGGGCATTTCAGGCAGAGAAAACCAGACAGAGAAACAGAGAGAGGGAGGGAGAGAATGAGAGAGAGAGAGAGAGAGAGAGAGAGAGAGAGAGAGAGAGAGAGAGAGTCTGTGTCTCTGTGTGTTATGTGTGTGTTTATGCTGTGTGTGTTTTGCCTGGCAGGGAGGAGGGAAGGGGAAGAGTGAGTGGAATGAAATCATAGAGAATGGCTAGAAGAGCTTTATTTTGGTTCTCATAGGTTTTAATTAGTATCTCACAGAAGCTTTTTTGTGTTGCCCTTTGTCATGACAAGTGAAAACTTCTCCATCATAGATCTGCTCTGCTCAATACAGTAACTTTTAACCACTTGTGACTGTTTTATTTAAATTTAAGTTAACTAAAATTAAACTAAATTAAAATTTTCGTTTCTCAGTTATGTTATTTACATTTCAAGGGTTCAATGTCCATGTATGTCTACTGGCTATTGGATGCTACAGATATAAAACATTTAGATCATCACAGAACATTCTATCAGACAGCACTAAAAGGACAATCCACAACTCAGCATTTTGCAATATCATTTCTACCCTAAAACAGAGACAGATAACTTAATGACAGAATATTGGGCTATACCCAATATTCTCCCTGCATGCATATATGAGCACTGCTGCAAAGACAGTTCAGAAATTTGCTTTGCATCTTCTGAAAAAATTGAACTCCTACATGCACAGAGCTGTGATAATCCCTGGCTTTCATTTTTAAACAAATTTAAAGGCTAATTGAGAGAGGTTAGTGTAAGAGGGGGACTCTGGAATAACACTGCTGGGCTCAAATTTGGTTCTGGCATTTACTAGATGAGAGACTTTGGAGAATGCCTAGGTTACCCCACCGGTAAAATGAATATAGAAAAAGAACTTTCCCATAAACTAATTATAGTAGATCATATTAATAAATATATGTCAAGAATTACAATGGTGCCTGGTGTATAATGTATGTTTTTAGCATTAACTGATATTATTACTAATCAGCTCTTTTTTGTTAGGTAGACGCTAAATCACCTAGTCTCTCAGCTGGATTTATGAGTCTGATTATATTTTATTATGGCAAGTATTCAATATCCACTTATTATTGTTGTTGCTATTATTATCTTTCAAATGGCAGTGTTGCAAGAAGGCAATTAGCAGTATTCTCACAAGGGCCCTACTTCCTAATACCATCACTGTGAGAATGAGCATTCTAACATACAGATTTGAGAAGTACACAAACATTCATACCATGGCAATATGTTAAATAGAAAATGTTTCCAAAAATCTAGAAAGGGATAAGATTTCCATAAACAAGTTTTCTTTTGTTATTTGTTTGTTTTGCTTCAAAATTGTGTGACAGTGACTTCTGCTTTCTGGCAAAATGGAAAAACAAGAATGGATTTATCATTTGAAACAAATTAAAATTATAGCAAAATATAGGAAACAATGGTTTTCCGAAGAGCAGCTATCGGGCAGTGTAGGAGAATGATACCACAGAGACAGGAAACAAACAAGACGAACATTATGGTTGCCCCAGATTACTTCCGTAAGAGCATTTTCAGGTCATGTCACAGGGATGGAGATCACTGGTAGATTCCAGCAGATTCCCTAGGTTGAGAACAGGGAACTAAGGCTCCAAGGACGCCAAAGTAGCTAGAGTTCACAAGAAGAGTATTTACGAAAAGAGATTTTCACCAAAAAAGAATCCAGGAAACAGGCAGCAAACAGCCCCTAAGCATTAAGCAGAGTACCAGTCAGTGCTCACATGTGAGAAAACCACCTGAGGCCAGGAAAAACATCACCTGAATGAATCAGAAAGAACAGTGCCTGACATTCACAAAGGCTGAAAATAGTTCATATTTTCACCAAAGTAGAACTTATCATAATTCA